GCGTTTACCCCAAATAAAACAACAAGCATTTCGTGATTAATTTGACACAATTATGAAAGAATTTTAATTGGTTTTCCCTTTCCCTGATCTGCGGTGTCATGTCAGTGATTCTTTTGTGATATTATAAATTAAAATTGGAAACAACAACCGCACAAAACGCAACAGCCGCACAATCAATGCAAAATAATATTAAATGCAATTTAAAACTTAACAAAAAATCAACAACCAAAAAGCCGCAACGAGTGAAATCATCGAAAATCGAGCAAATTGTCCACAATCGAAGGCACAAAGATAAAGAGCAGAAAGATTGGAAGATAGAAAAAGCAGAGCCGAAGGAAATCAAGTCAGAGAATCAGTAAGACAAGGAAACCAAACAAATATTCTCAGTGATAATCAATAAAAATAGCAAACAAATACTTGAAGTAAGCTATTGTAAAGTTGTCAGGCTTTAATAGCTATAAGAAAACTATTAAGAAGTCAAGAACAAACAACAAAAGTATGCTAAATCAATAGATACAACAAATAATAATACTCTCCAAGAATTCTATCATAACAATCTATGCGAAATAAATATCGTAGCAACATTCTAACCGATCATATAACCACAATCCAATCTAAGTGATCAAATAATATACAAGCTATGCGATAATCCATATAAAATACAATCTACGATAAATAAACACCCAATCTATAGGTAAAAATTCTCATTAAATCAATAACAAATCATAGGAATCTATAAAGAATATTGTGATAAAAGTCAAGTGTAAATCAAAGAAAAATACTGAAAAGAGAGAGGAGAAGAAAAAGCCACTTAGAAACGATAGTGGGAGACATACAAGTGGTTTATGATAAGAGCGTGGAGGAAAGTTTACTACTAGCCCACGTACTAATAAATAAATACTTCATGAAGCTTATTGCATAAATTGCCGTTAACCGGTGTGAACCGTTAACCGTTGGTCGGTTAAGTGTGATAAAGTCCGACGCAAAGGCCGCATAAACACAGATTGTGTGTTAAATAATACATGCATATGCGATAGAGAGTGAGAGCGAGATAACAGAAGCACCAGGAGACAGAAGACACAGCACAAAAAACGAAGAGAGAGACTGAGAAAGAGAGGAGAGTAACTGCCGTCTGCCCCTGCCATATATTCAACACAAATCCCGATGTCGTTCACTTATCCGAGACTTCAACAACAACAACAACAACAGCAGCAGCAGCAACAATAAGGAAGAAGGAAGAGGAACAGGAGGCTGCAAGCAAGAGCAAGGAGAAGGCAACATTGCCTAAGCCCAAGTGAAAGAGCAGCCGGGAGGGAGACACAAAAGCGAAGGCACCTTGAAGGCGACATCAAAGCCACGCTGATGATGGGCTACATCATGGGTTGTGCTTGTTTCAAAGGTAATGGATAATCCATACACGAATAAGAGAGCTCAAGCATGTGAATATATAGAAATGAATACATGTGCATAGGTGTATGAATATAGTTTCAAATGGGAAAGGTTCCTTCAACTTTTTATATCCAAGGAAAAGTCTTGTAACATGGAAAGATCCGGCTTTCTTCTAGAATCGATTATGTTTTAGCAAATTTACTTTAGGGTATAAGCTATTCGATTTGCAGAATGTCTTGGCGTTACTCTCATCTGTCAGCCATTTGCCTTCCCTCACTGGCACCGCTACATCCTCCCCAGCCATCCGTTCGCATTCGTTGCTTCCTTCCGCTCATTAGGCACCTCTCTCAACGCATTGCGCCTTGGGGCTGATGCTGCTCTCCTTTTCCGCATGCTTCTCTCCCTGCCTGCTTCTGCACTGTCCTTTCTTTCGTATTCCCTTTTTGTGCTGTCTTTCTATACACGCGTTTTCGCATTTTTCTATGCAACGTCATTGTAGACGTCACGGAGAGCAGAGAGAAAGGATGTTGGAGAGAGTATAAAATCCTGCGCAAGGAGAGAGCTCTCTCCCTCTCTCATTCTCTGTTATGGTTTAACATTTATGGCAACTTTTCTAGCCCTGTCCTGTTGTTGCTGCATTTGCCCTCTGCTATTTCTCCCAACTTTTATTTGTTTTTCTTTTGATTTTTGGCTATGTTTTTTTTCCATCCGTCTGACTCTTCATACTTTTCTCCCTGTTCTTTCCTGTGTTTTTGTGTGAATTATTCCGATAGATACGTCTTTCTTTTTGAGTGCAATGTGATTTTGATGTTGCCTTTTGCACTTTCCATTGCTCTCTGCCTTGTTGTTGTTTTTATGAGGTACAAAGGCATAAAGGTACAAAATGATTCAGTCCTTGAGTCCTGCTTGTTTAAATCATTCGACAGGATGTGCACGTGGCTTGTTGTTGATTTGTTCGTTCATTCGAGAGGTGAGTGAGTGAGTGTGAATGGGAGAACTCTGTGCACTTGTCGAAATGATTTGTTTTGTGGCTTTTGTGCTGATTCTTTAAAACTTTAATTCACTGATCCGTTGTTGCTTTGCAATATTTGAGTAGGTTCTATAGAAAGTTTTAAGCTATTGTCAACAGCCAAATTCTCATCAGACTTCAAGCGATTGTTCGTTTCATTTAATTTGTTTTTATAGATTTTTTTTTATAGCAGCTTCCCACATCTTTGAGTTGTTTTTTGTGTGCATTTTTTGTTACGTTCTGGAAGCATTTTCCGTGAGAATTCTCCACACATTCTCTGTCACAGGATTCGCTTTAGCTCCAGCTTCACGTGGTGCCTCCTGCATACATCCTGCCCACCGCCTGCTATTCGAAGCTCTTCTGTTGGTTTGCATTCCATGAGCCACAAAGCACTTAACCCTTGCTTCGTTGTAACCCACACACGTACCGCACCCTTTACCCACTCTTTCTCCCTTGTTTCCCCCTTACCCTCTTGTCTTCCTGCATGCTTCTCTGCCTCTTGAACTCGTGGCACGCACATTGCAAGTCTAACCTTTCACATTTATGCATTTTCCTCTGGTTACAACCACACCCCGCTGCTGCTCCACTGCTCGACCTTTCTACAGCTTCGTTTCCTCTCTTTCTCTGTCGCTGTTGCTCCCACTTTCTCTGTGCATTTGTCTCTTTATCTCTAGATAGTTTTCGTTTTATTCAATTTTAGCGCTATTTTTACTGATGCAATTTTCAACAGCGCGTGGCGGCGACAACGCTACACGAAAGCTAGGAAATTGAGACAACCCAAGCAGAGAGAGAGAGAGAGGGAAGAACAGGAAGTGTGTGTGTGTGTGTGTGTCAGAGAGTGAGGGGTGCACTGAAGGATGCCTAAGTGCTTGGCCCATTAAAGTATGCAATCATTTTGCGGTTAGTTGACCTTTTCTTTGGCTCCTAGAAAACAGGGAGTGCTGCTCCACCACCATATCCTCCTCCTCTACTGTGTTCCCTTTGCCTTTGCCTTTGCCTCTCTCTCACTCTCTTGCCTCTTCCCCCTTTAAACCACTTTGCGCCAAATCCTTTGCAACATCTGAAAACATTTCTTAACAAGATTAACGAGTCTTCAGGAGTCCTTAAACTATAACGACCTTCTGCAGTACCCTGCACTTGGCTCCACCCATTTCCCCTTCCCCCTTGTAATTGGATACGAATTTTCCTCACCATTTTCCTGCTCAAATCTTTCGTCTTTGACATTCCCTCAATGTACATATGTATATTTTTCTTGTTTTTTTTTTCATTCATAAACAAATTAGTGGCATTTGCTGCTGCTGTTGCTCGTGCTCGGCTTTTTCTATCGTACATATATCTCTGCCACATGGCGCCGCCCCACACACAATTAAAAGGGGCAAACACATGCAGCCACGCCCACTGCCCCCACAAAACAGTTCCAGCTCCCCTTTTGCCTTTTGCCTTAGAAGCTTCGTATAAATAAATAAATAAATAAATAAACAAGCGTTTAATTGAACCGGAAATCATTTGTGGGTGTGTGGGAGGAGGTTGGGCCGTTTTCTACCCCATCTCCATTCATCGGCTATCTGATGTGTGTGTGTGTGTGTGTGTGTGAATGCATTCTGTGTGCGTTTGTGTGTGGGTTTCTTATTGAAATTTGTGCTGTTCATTTTTATTTAGTCAAGTTTTACGAGTAGTTCTGCTGCTCCCATGACATGGCTCTCAGGGACTCTCTGCTTTGCGTTTTAGCTCTTGAAACTTGTTTGTCCAGTGGTGTTTATCAGTGTGTGGCAGGAAAGAGCGGGTTTCGGGCAGGGGAAAGGGTGTTAGTGGCAGAGACGAGAGTCGACAAGATTACACGCCAGTTAGCTGGCTGGACTGCTCGCATGCTTGCTTCTTGTTTGCTCAACTCTTTATGGGAAGAGCAGCCATACACATTGAGTACATAAATATATTCTCTTGTATATATACTTACATATTAGTTTGTCTGATTAGTTTATAGCCATTTGGTACAACCGGGGGAAAGACATTGTAGAGAGTGCAGGGCATTAATCTTTACGTTTATTACCCAGTTTCCTTGGCTTGTTGTCGTTTTTGTTGTTAGTTTTCAACGATTTGTGCCACAGTTACGTTTCTTGCTTGCATTTATTGGTCTTATTTTTTGTGGTTTATTTCTAAAGTCTCTTCTAAGATCTGCCGCAAAAGTTTCTTTTCTTATTTATCGATTAAAAGTTCTGTCTCGGACAACGATTTCCCATGCACTTCCTGCTCTAAACCGTTTCTGCAAGTCCCAAATTCTGCCCCAGAGCATCCAATCGTCTTCTATTGCTCGATACGCCAATTTATTTTCCATATTCTATGCCCCATTTCTCCCATTAATGTGCAAGCACTCGCGCATTAGCGTGATACTTCCACTTCCACTGCGTTGCACGTGTGTGTATCCGTGTGTGTGGCAGTAAATTACCGTTGACATTTGGTTGCATGTAGCGCACGCCCTTCCACTGTCATTGGCACGCCCACTTGTTGGCACGCCAAAAACTATCCACAATAAAATCATCGGCAGGGCACTGATTACTTATAAAGGCTTTGCATGTGCTCAAGGATCGCTTTAGTATCCTTCAGAATGTCCTCCCGCCTGGAGGTGGCTTTCAATCGCACGGTCGTGGAGTATTTCCGTAAGACGAGCCTCAATGGATTCGGATTGTTGTACTTCATAAGGAAACGTCGCGTGCAGCGTCTCTTTTGGTTTTCCTTCATCTGCTGTGGGCTGTTCTTTGCGGGTTACTCGGTTTTTGCAATGATCTTGGATCTACTGGATAGCTCGACAATAACAGATCTTTCCGAGAGGGATTTGGGTGCCTTGCAGTTGCCTTCGGTTCAGATATGCAGTGGCTATCGATTCAGCAAGAGAAAAATGCAGCAATATACACAAATGTTGGCCAATTCCACTGGCAAATCATTGGGCTATTGGTGGCAAAAGATACATTTACTGGAGGGTTACATGGATCCCCTGGCTGTGGAGGCAGAAGAAGCCAAAGAACTGCAAGAATCTCTGGGATTCCGTGATGTGCGCTCCAATTTGTTGAATCTAACGCCCGCTTGTGTTTCTCTGATCCTCAAATGTCAGCAGAATGGTGCAACCATCGATTGCTCAGAGATATTCCACCTGCAAGCCACAAATTATGGACACTGTTGTGTCCTGAGGGACAGGAACATCACGGGGGAACTTTCCCTGTCGCTGGACACCTCCCAAGAAGATGCAATTCCAATGGAAAAGAGTCGCAGCCTTGCGGGTTTCCATTTGCATATTTCCAGCTGGTTGGGCAGAGTCACCATTGGCCAGGGCGAAAAGTCACTCGTGGAGGTGAATGTCATGGAACTTGAGGCTAACTCTGAGCTACTCGAATATCCTGTGGATAGACGTGGCTGTCATTTTCCCCATGAGGGTGTAGGCAGGGAAAAGTGTCTGCAGAATTGCAGGTTAAAGGCCTCGCTAATGAATTGTCAGTGTGTGCCCTATCCCTTTGAGAGAGATGCGAAATTAAAGCAAATATATTGCACGCTAGAAGACATTGCCTGTCTGCAAATGGTAGAGGGTAAGTTGGGTTCCCCTCTTCAGGTGTAACCTTTCCCACTCTTATGTATCTTTTGCCCTTAGTTAATTGGTCACCAAATCAGTGCCCGCAGTGTCTGCCGCTCTGCAATCAAATGTTGTACAGCCTGCACAAAAGTTTGCTCGGTTATATGCATCCCTTTAGGAGTTCCCTGGTGCTACGCTTTAGGGCTCCACGCTGGAGCAACTATGCACAGGATAAACACTATCACTGGTATCATATTTTGTGTAAGGCTCAAGGCTCTTATGCCAGTAGTTCCTCTCCTAATTTGCCGCTTTATTTTCCAGCAAATATTGGCGGTGTCTTGGGCATTTGCATTGGCTGTTCGCTCATCAGTGGCTTTGAGTTGATTTACTTTATGGTCTTTCGGTTTTGGTCAAACTTTAGGCAGCAACAATAAACTAATAAATTGCTACTCTCTGTATAATAAATGAAAGAAAAGTCTAGAAATGTGTGAGATTTGAATGGGTAGCCAGTATGCCGATCATCAAGGTTAAGTGGTCTACAGAGGCTTCTTTTGCTTCATCGCTTGGGGGGTGGATGCCGCCCCTTGATGACAACTGAATAACGCCCACACTTTCTACCGCTACCTCTGTTTGTGTGTGTGTATCTGTGTGGGACTCTTGTACCTTTCTTAAGTGCACTTCAGCGTGTGTGCGTTGTTACTGTCTTGTATTGATTTTCTGTTTCTTAGTGCACAAAACTTTTTTACTTTACTGAAAATCTAATTCTATATTTTCTTTTCTTTGCAGGTGAGTTTTCCGCCTTGAGGCAATTTTGTGGGGTTTTTCCATATATTTTAAGAGTAAGTAAAAACGTTGAAAATATATTTTTTTGTGGGTGCTGACAATAACAGAGCGACTTAACAGCATGTTAAGTGGCTGTAAAAGCTTTGGCGAAGCTTTCGTTGGCAACAAACTTTGCTAAATTATGTTCTGGTATGGGATAAAGCTTTCGCTGTAAGCTTTTAGTTGCAGAGTTTGGCAGTTGAAAAGTAGGAAAATGATTTGTTATGTTTCTCTTTGTGCTGATGATTTTTAATGGCATTTTTTAACTGCCACACAAATCATTTACAATCGATTGAAATATAACAAAAGGGAAATATGTGCATGGATTGAGATATTTTCTTTGATATTTATGACGTATATTAAATTATGTGCCACATCATGTACGGAAAATTGCAATCTAAGCAGCAGCTTGGCGGATCCACTCCCATTTAATAGACCTCCTGTGGGTAAGACACAGATTCACGCCCAAAATTGCTGTTAAGAGCTTCTCAGAGCCTCTATCTGCCCCTCTGTCTCTCTCTCTGCATGGCGTGTGCGAAGGGCGAATGTCTCCATTAATTTTAAAACCGCCAACTTATCTCCGGCCGCGTCATGCTCCTAAGTGATTCTACTGCTTCGCTGATTTACCGCCCATGAAAGACGATGTGGGGGAACATGGAGGTTATCAAATGCTCCACTCCACTGCATACCCTATAGATTACCCATAGGCAAGGACATGCCGGACGTCCTTCACCTTCGCGTGTTCTCTCCTGTTCTGTGCCCAAAAAAAGGCACAAAAAAAAATGTGTACATAAATATCTCTCTGAAGAAGAAAGAACCTTCGGCAGCATCAGCATCAACAGACATTCCTTTTAAAGTAGGTATTTCGCATGTGGCTTTCGCTCTTGCCCTGACATTATTTTATACATTTATTTCTTTGAATCGGCTGATGAGCTGCTGATCAAAGGCATTCCTCGACCGTGGCACAGCCATAAAAAGGACACCGCTTCTGTTGTTGGTGGCGGAGGAGTTGAGGTGGGAAAATGAAATGAAATGTGTCGCCTTACAGTCAATTGGAATAGTTTTGATTTTGTTAGGGTCGATTGGTGGATGGTTTTAGATGTGCAAAAAGGTGAGCGATTGGTTCAATGACTTTTAGGGAACAATTTAAGGATGAGTTTCATCACAGAGATGCTGTAAATGCAGAGGTATTTTCGGAGTATTTCCGTATATATTTTGTACTCTTTAAACTGCTTCTCCCACTCCCATTGCTGCTTGTCCACTGCTTACCGACTTTAAGCCTTCCATTCTACTACTTTTCCACGGCTTGCACACATTCAACTGCTTCGAAGTTCTCCATTTGTTCGTTCGATTTGAATATTGTCGACTCCGATTGCGATTGGATGCCATCCTTGGGGTACACTCATCACATGAGGCAGAGAGTCCCTGCCCCATGCCCCGTCAAGCTACATACAATTTCCCCAAAAAGTGAACCGCAATGCCAAGCTCTGCGTGTGGCTGTGTTGCTGCCTGTAGTCTCATTTGCATAATTCTAATATGGAAAATTTTTGGCCAATTCTCAAGCTCCGACCAGTGTCCACCCACTCACACACAGACAGACACACACAGCACCCATGGCTGTACACACGTAGCATTCACATTTTGGGTCCCGGGAGGCCAACAGAAGATTTGCATAAATAAATGTTGTAGTCCTGCTCCTCGGAGCTCCTGCTGTCCGTTCCGCCTGTCAACGTAAATTACGGCCATTTGATTTCGGGGCAATTACAACGCATTTTTGTGCAACAATCTTCTCGTTCTTTGTGCCCCACATTGCCCCTCTTTTTGATTTATATTCCACTCGTGGCCTTTATTTTTGTGGGGAGGCAATTTCAATTTCAGCTTTGCAACATTCGACATGTCGTTGAGAAAGTTAATTATGAGGCGGATTATCCTTGGACTTGTATGCAGTGTCCTGTCATTGTGTCGTCCGGCTCCTTTCTCGTTTTTGGCTATTTATTGCCCCAGTATTTTTCTGTGTTGCATGCATATCTCTCCTTCTGTCTGCAGGATTTCCGTTGTCGTCTGTCGCCGGAATCCATTGTGTTCCACCGTCTGTGAGAGAATGTTTGTGTGATTGTGTCTGGTCGGTCAGGCGAAGGTTGCAACATTGTGGCACCACCAACCAACCGAGAAGGTAGACAACCTTGGCCATGACAAGGACGTTTTGTGTTGCTGCTTTTGTGCTTTGCTTTCTTGAGGTTTTCCTCTTCCTTTTTTCCTCGGTTCGAGTGTATTTTTACAAGATTATTCTTGCTGTGGTTTTCCCTCGAAATTTGCATGCCATTTTCCATTTTCCACGTTCCCCTTTCTCACTTTTTGCCTTTTTCACTAACTGAAAATGATTATCATTTGTTTTCGTTAAGCCCCAAAATGTCCAAATAGCCAAAGAGCCGCAGAGCCAACAAGTTGTGGCAGCTCATAAAATGAATTACTCGCTCTCTGCCAAGGATTCTTCTCTTTAGTTTATCCAAAGCTTTTGCCTGGAGGATAGATTTCAAGGGATAACTATGGCTCCTGAGGGGGGACTATGGTTTATGATTGGCGACCATATGCAAGGGACTTTTTAAAAGGAAAATGGCATGAAGCTTGCAAGAGAATAATATGTAGCTGAGTGGAAGATATTTTTGTGTAATTTAAAAGTATAATTTGGAGTAGATCCACGAGGTTCTATCTATGACAAATTGCCACGAATAATTCATAAATATTTTCGGTTTGTGGGTGCACTGAAACACCGTTTAATCTCATTTAATATTCAATCTTTATACACAACAATTTATAATCGATTGTTGCCTGCCTTTTCCACTGACATGCATGGATTTTCCCTTCTTCTGATTTACTTGATTCACTTATCCTCTCGCTAACAGATTTTCCGCTTGCGCCCCCAGACAATAATTCTGTCAAGAGTTTCTCCGCTTACCACCCACACAAAACAGATTTTGCAACCAAACCTCAGGGTTCTCTTTCCTGAACTGAAACTCTGATTTCCATAGGATTTCCTTGCCGCCTGAACCTCGATTTTGTATCGGATTTTCTCCGGCAGCACCACCCAAACGGATTTACTTCACTTCCCAGAATTTGGAGGCCAGTCAACGCTGCTCTTCCGTTCGTACCTTTTGACCATTGTATAAGTCCCCGAGTCTTATGCAAATGCTCTTCGTCCCTCTCTCCCAACGGGAAGAGGACCCTCCAGGGATGCGATTGAGGAATGAACTGCCATTGCGATGGAAAACGACGGAGTCCATTCAATCAAACGTTGACATTGCCGCCTCGTGGCAGTCGTCAGCATCATCCGTTGACGTTGTCATTGTCATTCCGAAAGGGAAAGGGAATCAGTGTACACAAGGGGAAGGGGCATGTAGATGGGGCGATTTTAAAGCGATTTTATTTATGCAACGGCATGTGCTTGGAAGAAGCTCAGCTCTTTGTTTTCGGGGACAGACGGCCAGGCCCTGTTTCTTAACCAAATTTCGAATGCAAATTTTTGCACGTGCCCAGGACTACGTCCTCCCTGCGTCTTTGGGTGTGGGCGTGGTCGAGAAAGGCTTCCTTTGGCTGCATTTAATTATTAAAATTTAATTTGGCCAATTCCGCTGTGCTGTGCTGTGCTGTGCTTTTTGCCACCCACGCTCTCAGGGTAAGGTGATTTCTCACACACACACTCTCTCTCTCTCTCTCTCTCTCTGGGTGTTTGTGTGTGGGTGGCTTATGAAATATTATGGGGGCATTCGCTCCGTTAGCCCGGCTTAAAAAACTTGACAATTGTTCCCCTCGGGGCGGCTGCAGTCTTTCGTTTGCTGGCAAACAACCTGTTTGCATTATTGTATACAAAAAAAAACTATCAGAAATTATGGAACTAAAATAGTTTTACCCCACACAAAAAAAGAAGAACGAGAGGAGGATTATAGAAGGAGGAAAGTGTAATGGAGAGAGAGACTGTCTTAACTCTGCTAAGCATGACACACAGACAATTGTTATTCCTGTTGCTTGCTCCCCCAACCACTCTCTTCCCCCTCTCACACGCTTGTTCTCTGTTTGTTGATAAATTTTTGATAACTTGCGTCACTTGCATTTTGAATGAGAAAAAAAAAACACAAATTCGCAAGAGAAAGTCAAGTGTAAAGTAAAGAGAGAGAAAAACTAAAAGAGAGAGAGAGAGAGTGTAGAGTGTGGAAAGCTTTAAGGGCGAGCTTTTGCCAGCACGTGCGACCACTGTGTCGGCAAAAAGCGAATTCAAGTTCAAGTCTCATTGAAAATCCAAGTTCAGAGGCGCTTCAAGGCTTGCACTCTCTCTCGCTCGTTTTCACTTACAGGAGAGCGCATAGCGCTGTCTCTTTTCATACTGCCCCCTCAGTATCTCTTTCTCCCTCTTTCTCTCGCTCTCTCTGTTTCTAACTGCGTGTGCGTGTATTTTTGTGATTATGTAAGCAGTTTTTTGTTGGTTTCTTCTATCGTGTTTGTTATTTTTAGTTATTTTGGTCTCCCCTTTTTATGAGAATTTATTTTGGTATTTGTTTGCCTTATTTTCAGTGGTATTTATTTAATTTGGTATTTTTGTTGAATATTTATTTACTTT